AGCAGACGAACTCGCGCTCCGCATAGGTGCGCGAACCCAGAGATGGCAAAATTACTTTCAAAAAGTAAGTGAATTATATTGCAAATTACTCTGCAAAACTAATAAACGTACTTTGACATTCCTGTTCAACACCTTCAGGCAGTAAGTCTTGCTCATTTTATTTACAGCATATGTACCAAACACAAATCTTACCATTTAAACCAAAACCGCCTTATGCGCCTCAAGGGGAACCATACTGAACAGTCGTTTTTTTTGCTCGCACAACAGTTAACCAGTTTCGGTCTGAGGAATGCTCCCCTGAACCCAACGATTTGCAGACCATCTTTGAAGGTAAAGGGGAAATTCAGCGCATTAAAAGTTCCACTCCAAGAGGAGAAGAAACGAAATATAAATTATAGGTTGTCATTTCAAAGAAAAACAAATTATTACGTTATTAGTTGTGTGCAGTGTACCGGGCTTCCACTGTCTTTTTTGTGTTAACCGCCTTATATGCTTTATATTAGTGTTTTAGTTTTAGTTACTTATGTATCGTTGAAGTAACCTTAGTTCCCTGACCGAAGCCGCTACCCAAGATTCTTTTCTTTTGTTTCCTAATCTATTCAGCTACCCATAACTTGTTGTAATCACTGGTCATTAAATTCATCACGCGACTTTTACGGTACGCGTTGTTTTGGCTTGGACTTATTTTTTAAAGTTGCTGACCTTTTCGAGGTCTGTTATTTTTTAAACGTAAACATAAATATCGTTAAATTGTTCTGCCATAGCTAGGTATTCCCTTCAGTAGCGCTTTGTCGATATACAAAGCATGTGACATACTGTTGTGAATTGAGTTCTTTTTTTCCAAGTACGTGAGTGTTTTACGTATAAAGTTCGTCACCTGTATTCGCCCAGCGCAAGTAGCGCCTGTTTAACGATTGACTAGCGACGTCACCGACTAAAATTATCACGGGGCCAGCGATAGTCGCTCGCCACGTGATCCTTTTAGTGATCGTCAAGGGTGATGATCACGTGATCAAGAGCGCTTTGTATTCACCGGTCGTGTTTAGGGCCTAGTAGCCCCGGGCGACTAAGAAGTCGACAAACAAATCTTAGTCATAGGGTAGGGCTAGTTGAGCCGCTGTTTAGCGGGTGACTAGCGGCTCAGCGCCATGGGCGACTCGTATCACCGCTGACCGCCTGCTCTAACGAAGCACTTACTGTCTCGGAACGCTGGGGTACACATCTAGAAAGAATTGTACGAACAGATATTGTGTAAATAGCCATGTTAAACGGCAATAGATACTGCTATAGAGATTTCAGAAGGGCACTGAAAGACGAGAAAAGGGCATTTACGGGTGCTTTCATGTTTGTTCATGTCGCTGGCAATGCGGCTTCCGTGTTTCTTCCTTGCGTTTTTCTAAATTTTTCTTTGTAAACCTCTGCCTCGGATAATTAGTCTTTCATTGTAACTTTTTTTCTGATAAACATTTAAATATAATTTTTTTTTATGTTATGAAATATCCATTTACGCAGCGGCGATTAAGTACGCGTGTGCATAACCTACCTTTTTTATATCACTTCCGCTTGTTAGTTCTGACTAGATAGCCATCCGCTCGATTCGCACTTGTGAATGCCGCAGATCAAGTCGATTCTTAGTCGCTGAAGTTTTCTCTTAGTTCGCGTCTACTTAAACGCGGTACTAACTTTAAAACAGGGCTAGTTAGTGGCGGCTGTTGAATGCGGCTGCGTGTGTCATGGAATTCTTTTTCTTGTGCCATAAAATGCGATCGGACGATGATAATCCATGGTTGTGGTCGAATGGAGCTAACAAATCTTGCGAGAAGTTTGTTAATGTAGAGGCCCAGGAAGATTTACGAATTCAAAAACAAATTGAGGGCTTACGGGCACACATGTACGCTGTTTCCTGGAGGTGTGATTCAGGTGTGCCAACGGCTGCAATGCACACTTTGTCACGTCGAGGTTCCTCATTCCCCGTTCGGATCCACCGAAGGATTTCTAAAAATCACGAGCCGAACACAATTTACATGCTCAGAAGCCTCGGCGCCCGACCACTTCCGCAAGCGACGGAGCAGGCGAGGATCGAGACGGTCCTTCATAGCGGTGCGTCACGCGTAAGTAGCCAATGGCGTGCCGCTGCTGCGATACCTTCGGTTTTCTTTGCTTTTTTCGAGTTTAGTGATTCCGTTAGGCTCCTACGGATGTGATATTTTGACTCAGCAGGTAGAAGCACGTCAAAATTAACCATTAACTTCATTTCTTGTTCGAAAAGTTCTTCATCTTCTTTTTAAGCTGCAATGGGGTGGAAGCTACGTGATTGTTGGAATAGTCGCACGTCTAGCTTACGCTCTCGTATATTTACCGAAACGCAGAAAAAGGAACGGCTCAGGGGATCACAGGAAGGTAGTTGATTAATTTTGGAGAGCTCGTAGCTCTCACCGCACTGTCAGCTTAGGATGAATGAATTATAGTATCGTCGTGATGAGGTGACGCTGTGTATCTGTCTTTCATTGAGCTCGTGAGCCGTGGCTTTCCAGCAATGTCTTCATACCTAAGCTTTTCCTCTTTCTTTTTTCCTGCTCGCCTTTGTGCATATGTCGAGTTCTTCGTACGAGGCTTTGCGCTTAGATGGGCGTCATTTATTTGCCCTGATGTCTCTTTCATGATATGTTACCGTGCAATGTATTTTTTTTTAGAGCTTGCAAACGAAGTTTTTCATTTGGGATAAAAGCAATTTCAATAGTAAGGAGTATTTTTCTCAAAATGACTTGCTGAAAGTAATTTATTACATCCCTGAATTGCCAACCAGGAAAAGCAATTCATTGCGTTACTCGTTATCACAAAATTATTTTAATTGCTGTAATTGTAGTAGAGTAATGTCATTACCGTCATCTCTGCCCGCGAAATTTCAGTTGTCTGTAACCACTTATACAAAGCTAGGTAAATTATAGGAAAATATGTAGCAGCTAGAGCACGTGGACAAGAGACAGATAAAATAAGCCATCAAAAGCTTTATAGCAGATCATACAAGGAGCTACAGATCGCTAAACAAACCATAAAAAAATCTACAGGCAGCTAGAACACGCTGGCTAAAGAGACCCAAATAGTAAGCCATTTAAATGCTTTATCTAACCACTGAAAAAGCTATAGGCTCTTGTAGCTGAGCAGTGATAGGCAATAGAAAAAGCAAAAAACGCCCATTGCGGGGGCCTTAAAAATCAGAATACACTCTTCAGAGAGGCCATAGTAAAAGCTAAATACAGCCATACACTCTAAAATTATCCGTTATTGAAAGGTTATTCGATACCTAAATAACTTTTTCAGCTTGTGAAGCACGGTTTCTCCTGAAGCATGATCCCCAATGGCGCACTAGAAAGCAACTGAGTGATGAAAAATTTTCTCGCATCAAAGAAGGAGCTTAAAAGAGCACCTGATAGGTTTCTCACGAAGAAACCTTTTAGGGTGTGCTTAAAATAACATTTTAGGTTGCGAAATTCGAACAAACCTACAACCACTTGGAGTCCTTTTACAAGCAGATTTTTTAGAATAGAAGCGGTTATATTAATTTTGCCAATTTTTTATAGTTTGCCATACATAATATTTACGAAAGCCAACCACATAACATTTTCACGCGTCAAAGTTCCGTAGAAAAGTACTCAGAGCAAAAGCGTCCGCGATTACAGAATGTAGTATACATGGAAGCAGTTGTTTTTTTATTGATCGTTGAATAAAATGATTAGTACCCACATTTGAAGTGATATGAAGTGTGTGTTGAAATATAGATACGTAACACGTAACTCAGGAAATTTTTATGGCTTAGAAGAAAAATACTTATGCTTGTAGATTAAAGCCGTCTTCGTGAAAAAAATAAAATATAAAACATTGGTCTAGTTCAAATGTTCCTCACCGTGAATGCGCTTCAAATATTTTTAATATTATAGGCAGTTTCATATTCAGTGCGATTAAAGTTTAGTAAACTCAAAGCGCCAAGAGATACGACAGAGTCCAATATTATGCGTTTTTCTCACCTGATTAAGCTGACGAATCGCATAGCACGCGCAAGAAAAAACGAGAATGAACTGCATAGCATTATATGTAGAGATGTAAAATTTCCGGAAATTTTGAAGGCCGGAAAAAAACGACGAAAAAAGCAAGTTTTTTTCCGGAAATTTTGGAAACATTCGAAAAATATTCTCAACAGCTATAATTCAGTAATGATTCGAAATATATCGACAGAGGTCAACGACCGCAAGATATTTGCGTCAGTTTTACGGTGAACTATTATATTATATCACCTTTTTTAACGTTTACGACAACTTTCGTCAATTTAGCTGAGCTTTGACTACTCATCTGGCAACAACCGATAGCACCTACGCAGTTCTTTGTTCCCGCCGGTGCCGTTCGCGCTCTCGACGGGCAGTCGGAGGAGCCGTATCACTTTAGCTTTCCCAGGTTCTTAGTGAAAGTTCTGAGCACCTTACTCTGGTGTGGACACTTGCCGTGGACCGTGGAGCTGTCAAAACTGTGTGCTGTGCGCCATGGAGAGGTCAGCCAGGGCAGCTATAACGCTTTAGCTTGAACAGCGCCGTTTCCGAAACCTCGCGCGCATCGTTCTCGGGTATGGACTTTCGCCGTGGATCCGTGAAAACTGTGCGCTGTTCGCTATGGTGAGGCCGCGCTCCAACGTTTGGAGGAACTTTGACGTGCTAAACAGTGGTAAGGGGCCAGCGGTGTGCAGATTTTGCTGTGCCAAATACGAATTTCCCAACGCAAGTCGCTTGCGGCAGCACATCGAAAGGTGCTCGAAGTGCCCCCCGGACATCAGGTCTGCAGCATCGGACGACCCGACAAGATCAGAGTCTGGGGCATGTCGGTCCAGGAGCCCATCTGTGGAAGTTTTACGGTCAGAGCGTGCACCTGTGGAAAATGAAAGCACAAGCTCTCAAAATGAGGCCGACAGGTATGTCAAGCAGCGAACTTCTATAGAAGCGTTCGTTGACAGAATGACGCAAGGGTGTCAAAGCAAGCTTGATGAGGCGCTGGCTCGAGCGATATATGCCAGTGGAACGCCTTTATCAGTTACGGAAAACAGATACTGGCGAGAAGCGTTCAAGCTCCTCAGGCCCGCATTTGTGCCGCCTTCCAGGCATTCTTTAGGTGAACGACTCTTGGAGGCCGAGTATGCCCGAGTGTTGACGCTGGTGGAAGAGAAAGTCAACGCCGCTCTGTGCGTCACTGTACTCACGGACAGCTGGACCAATGTACGGGGCGAGAGCATCTTGAACTTTGTGTTGGCTACACCGAAGCCTATTTTCTACAGCGCCGTGGAGACGGAAGATCACAGGCACACAGGAGACTACATCGCGGGAGAGATTGTGAAGGTTGTGGAGAAAATTGGAACCGACAAGGTTTTCGCTCTTGTTACCGACCATGCAAGCAACATGAAGGCCGCGTGGACAATCGTCAGTCTGCGCTACCCTAGCATCACTACTCTTGGATGCTGTGCTCATGGACTAAACTTGTTGCTGTCGGACATGCTCAAACTGGTGACATTGCAAGAAGTTTGCAAGAGGTCCAAGACTGTAATCAAGTATGTCAGAAACTCTCACGTGGTTGCGGCTCACTTTGCTAAGAGGCAAGAAGAGTGCTATGCTGGAAACCAGACCACATTAAAACTACCAGCTGAAACTCGCTGGGCGGGCATTTTGATGTCACTAGAAGGCTTACTGAAGAACAAAGAAGCTTTACAGAAAACTGTGATCGCTGCGGAGCTTCAAGTGAGCAGGGAAATAAGATCAACGATATTAGATGAAGACTACTTTTGGCGAGATGTGCAAAGCACCTTCCACGTGTTGCAGCCAGTTGCCCGTGCTATTTCCGAGGCTGAGTCAGACACTGCTGTCCTCTCAGACGTCCATGAGATCCTGTTCAAAGTAACAAGACAAGTCGAAGAGGCCCTTCCAAACTCTGCCTTGACAACGGGCGAAAAGGAAAGAGTAGCAGAAATCCTGCGTGAGCGACGCAACTTTATTTGCCGTCCAGCACATGCTGCCGCAAATTTGCTCGACCTGAAGTTCAAAGGGCGGTGCTTAAGTGACGAAGAGGTATGCCACGCAATGGACTACATCACAGAGACAGCAGAAAGGATGTGTCTCGATGTGGGAAAAGTGTTGTCAAATCTCGCCGAATACCAGGTCCAGTCAGGTGCTTGGTCGAGGAAGGCATTGGAGGACTCGGCGAAGCATATTCCACCGTCCACGTGGTGGCAAGGGCTGTGTGCCTCTGAACCCCTGGCACCAATTGCTTGTCGCCTTCTCCAAGTCCCGCCCTCCTCCGCTGCGTGCGAACGAAACTGGTCGAAGTTCAGCGGTGTCCACACCAAAAGTAGGAACCGACTCAAAGGACACAGAGTGCAGAAGTTGGTGTTTGTTCGCTCCAATCTCGAGCTCAGGAGCCCTGATCTGAAATACCACGACGGAGATGACTCAAGCGTGGAGTCAGAGTAGCCCTAACTAACACACTGCTTTGGAACATCCGTCTTAATTTACAAAAGATATCTAGTCAACGCGTGCATATCTACCTCATCCAATGTTGGTTTTGAAGTTTGATCCTGTACTCTTTAATGCAGAACTAGTTGTACCCTTAGAAGGCAAAAGGGTCATGACAAAATACATCAATGTTGTTAAACTTCACTCCACTTTGAATATGATTATTTAACGTGGCATTAAAACATGGCACTACCTTCATGATAGTACATAAAGCAATTAATTTCTTCAATGGTTGACATATGCGACTATATTTCGCCACTCTGCTGTTATGTTATTTAAAGCTATGTTCATGCTGGTGCGGTAGTGGAGATCCGGCTGTAAATTAAGAGTCTCGTATATTAATTTATTGACCGAGAAAAACGCCATAGAGGACTTAGAAACACGGCTTCATCACATGCGTACACACTACCAACAAGCCTCGGACAGCACTGTCATTTCTCCTCCGTATAAGGCGTTCACACTGAACAGTAAAGCAACGGTCATTCGGGATGGTTGCTGCATAGTTTTTAGACAACGCAAACGGTGCAACGACGGGGCGAGGCGGCAGACAACCCGAGGTGATTGTGTTTCCTCACTTGCCCCGCCGTCGCGCTGTTTTGTTTTCTTAGGGGCTGAAAGATGTATTATGTTTAGTATAGCGTGATTAAGTTTCCGCCTGCTCTGCCTGCAAAACTCAATTCAGAGGAGCGTGATGGTCATTTTACCTTTCGATGAGGTCAGCGATATCAATTATAACGTTCGTTGCAGAAATTTGCTTAATAGATTTGTTAATACTTCAAAAACTTGGGTTTCGGTTTTTTTCCCGAATACTATGTCGGGGAAAAAACCAGAAAAAACAGTTTTTTTTCCAAAATTTCCGTTTTTTTTTCCGAGCCCTCGCATCACTAATTATATGGCAATTTTTCAGTGGTTTTATTAACTCCTAAATACAACGGAGCCTCAAAAAAAAAAAAAAAAAAAACTTTTTTAAGGGCATAGGTGGAACACATTTTTCTACAAATTTCTCAAGAAAACAATTTTTTTTTGGCGTGAAATGTAGACTGTTCGATGGAATTTAGGTAAAGGTCGCGACCTGTCTTAAGCCCCGCCCACATATCAGTGACCCCGCCCATCACTACTGGATCGGCATGGCTGCTCGGCCGAACATGCTCGGAAGCCTAGCGTTTCCATTTAGCGGAATTCGGTGCGTCCAGCAGATAGGTGGCAGCTTCCGGCATTGTCTGCTATTCCACTACAGTCTATCGCCGTATGCAATGCCCAGGCGCGGACATATAAGCTGCGCGTAGGCGTCCGTTTTCGTCTTCGTCCGTCTGCTATTCCGCCTTCGTCTAAAAACTTCTGCAACGCTCGCAAGACGTGACAATGGAAGCTGCGTTCTAGCATTCCACCATGAACGAGCCACAGTCCAATACAAGCGTTTGTCAGCGTTTGTAAATGTGCGGCAAAAAAACAAGACAGAGGACTAAAAAAATATCAATAATTTTGCCCAACACCACCACGCTGGTCAAAATCATCTGTCGTTCTACATTTTTTTGTGTTATGTTTTGTTTCGCATGGCATCCGGGAGAAAGTGGGTGAGCGCCATGACACAGTTAAAGCGCGACCTGAAATATTCGCTTTGGCAGGCCAGGTGCACTGCATAACTTGAGAGCTACTTGCCTTTTGAAGCGGAATGACAGGAAGAAGTCTGTACAAACTTGATGCGAGCTGAACGTCATATTGTCTCGAGCCAAATGGCTGGCGGATTCTTACCTGTGGCGGTGTCATCTCGGTATTTGAAACCATGGTTGCAGTCACGACGGGTGCATAATTCACCGGGCAGCGGGGTCACTCTTACGGAAACAAATATCTTTATTCAGCATCAACACGCGCCAACGGTCAGATCAGGCCAGATCAAGCTATATATTTGGCGTGGGACACTAGGCTTGGGCCAGTCCCGCTACCAAAAGAAGCACCCGCACGTCCGAAAGCGCGTACTTGCAATGGTCATTTGTTGCAAACTACGTCAGTTGAGGAGATGTTCGTCTAAGCAAATCGGTGAACGAAAAACGACGCGCACTTATAAGAACAAAGGAGCTCGACAAGCTGCGCTCGTTGAGCACTCCGCAAAAGCCAGCAGTCATGTCCGTTATCGTTTCACACCAATGCGAAAGAGGTAATATTTGGACACTTTGGAAAACAATTATGACTCTATCTAGATTATCATTCTCTCGGGCATAAAAATGCTTAAAATATGGTATCAGTGCCGTTAGATACACCTTTACAAACAGCGTTTTACACGTCAATCATCTATACAATTATTGAGAACCAAGAAAAAGCGCTTAGAAATGTAAGCACCGGGCAGGACTTAGTGAAAGCAATACCCCCCTCCCTCCCCCCCCCCCCCCCCCCCCCCCCCCACACACACACACCGAAAATGCGTCTAACGGCGTAAAATTCCTAAAACCATTCCTTTGTCGTTGAAACGTTTAGGAAAAGGATATGTGTTTCATATATTCCCCTTAAAAAAAAACTTTTTTTCCCCCTCGATTTAGTGTCCCTTTCAAAAACTCAAGGTGTAACCGTTAGTGTCGACGCATTTTACTTTGTGATCCGTGTCTCGGCATTTTTTTGGGCTAACGTCACTGTCTGATTTGTAGTGCAGCTATAATAATATGCTAGACACAAGCCAAGCCCACCGTTTCTTAAATCGACACTGGCTGTATCCTCATCGCTCTATAAATTACGGTGAAACTTCGCATAGTGGCAGTCAATGTTCTTGCCTATGTATAAAATGCTGTTCCCATGAAAAACCCGAACGATCCTGATCGTTATTTTGTTTCTTCCAACATTGTCAGCGTATAATATGGTGGTTAAGTGAAGTGTGAATCTAGCGATTATGCAATTAATTGAGAGAGGACGAATTTGTCATTTTACATTCGGAGACATTGCTGCAATCGATACGTTAAAGTCATAAATTAGTGAACTTAAACAATATAAATTAGTGTTTAGTGTTGCACCCACGGTGAAATTGTGCTCGAATAATAGTTACCAATGTGTGAAATATACAAGAACAATCTGTATTCTGAAACGAAATGTTGAGAAAAAAACGTATAAAACAATGGAACGAAGTATTCAAATTTCGGCAATGCTTTCTTAGATTTTTTTTTAACGAAGTTCCGAGCCGTTAGCACCCAAAAGCCTAGGATGCGTATGGCATTTTATTGTTCATTCATCATATTAATGTATCGCTTGTTCATCGATACTGATAAATCAGCTTGATATAATGACAATTTTGATTTCACACCAAACGAAAGTATAAGTAAAAAAAACACTAAAGTAAACACGTTATAATATAAAATGAACCCGCGCTCACTATCATAAGGTAATAGGCATAACAATAAGTATCAACACTAATCATTTTTATTTCCTTGCCATGTTCTTTTCCCATGTTATTTCTTAGGAATGTAAAATAAGAACAGTGTTTTCACGCAGAATCGTAGAGCTTTTTTTAGTGTAAGAGGATGACAGCTTTTTTATTATTCATCATACTCCAATAGCACAATACACAATAAACAACTGTAATATTCATTATGTCAGTTCTAAAAGAATAATCACCGTTCATAAAGAAATGACGAAACCTATTTCAACCATTGTGGAAGAGGAGAAAGCCCCATTTATAGAGAGCCCAGTAACCCGAATCACCTCGTACATCTACCAGGTGCATACATCCGTAGAAGACAAATGAAGGTCCCATTGAACGCTTATTGTTTCATCAATGGACTTAGCGCGACCAGTCAATCCACTACCGTGCCGCCGGGCCGAATCAATAAGTCAGGGGTTAATTAAGCCGAGGCTGATGAACAGCTAATGCTTTTCAGCTGCGTAGTCACGTGATTCTACACCTCTCCTCGTTCGACACGCCCACCAGAGCCGGTGGTGCGACTAATGGAGTCTTTCAAGCAGATTAGTCCGCCATTTTGGGCCTCCTTTTTTTGTGTGGTGTTTAGTTTGCTAATAATTACTCGTATTACCATTACGACGTGAGCCGTCATAGGCGAGTTGACGCAACGGATGCCGTGTGCGTTTCGTGTACGGACGCCGTGGCCCGTAAAAATCAGAGGGGAAAATAACTCCACTACAGTTGGCTAGCAACCACAGCGTCCAGACATTGTGACGTCATGGTGTGAAGTTCCGGCATGTCATATACGACGTCATATTTTTGAATTATTACTTTATCGAAAAAAACGTCTTCTAAATTCAGCGTACATATACTTCCGCTTTAATTAGAAGATGGGGTTTGCCGGAAGCTTTACCCCCAGATTCACGAGGGAACCACAGTGTCGTGGCATTGTGACGCAACAATGTAATACGGTGTGATTGCTTCATCTGACATTACAATGTCACGTGAACACGGTTTGGGAAATTTGACAAGGCTAAGAGCGTAAAATCTAAACGGGATAGTGAAAGTCGGTGGAGCTGTATTCAAGCGTCACGGCTGTAAGAGCAGTTGAATTTCAGGAAGCGGCCAGAAACAAGCATTGTTTTGTTTGTTTGATCGTCAATAATTTATCTCGTGGCATTTTGTGTCTGCTGAGCAGAAAGCAATTGACAGAGTGCGAGGCGATGGGCCAAGGTAAAAAAAAAAGGTTATTAATCTAGATGTCGCTTTAATGTCACGTTGATCCGCCGACTGATCTGGACGTGTGAGGATTTGCGCGTCTCAGGATAGCGTAATGCCGATCACGTGCTCAAGACTAACGGCCTAGGCCTTTTTCCGGAATAAGAATAGACATCTACCCTGATTCGCTGCATCACTTTGTCCAATCGCTTCGAGAGAAGACACCCGATTAAGCTATCGAGGTTTATGTATTTTGAAATAAATACACATCCCTAAAAGAACAAAGAAAATAACGTGGTAGTTGTGTTACTGCTAAAAAGTACTGCGACAGAGCTGCAGGCACAAAAAAGATGTGTGC